CGGACATAATGTTAATGAAGCTTTGTCTAAATCCTCTATTATGATTATTGCAAAATAATGTAATATTTTAAAGGAAGGGTGCCTGCTAATCAATTTGAGAAATTCTGTTATTTAGCATAAAGTCGATATTCGTCCGCTATCGACTTTAGGTAAATCTAAATTCATTAATTCATCATATGCAAAAAAGGCACGTAAGAGCTTAATTTTTAAATAAAAAAATATGCAAATCTTCGATATTTTGTAAATCAACACCAACTAAAAAATAATACCTGCTATACCCTATATGCTAAACCAGTACAAGTAGCGACATCTGTGTTTCTTTAGGTGTTATGGCATTCACTGGAACCTAGTTGCGTTATACAAGTAATAAGCTATTTACTATTCGGATTATGTAAGGACTAGCTTTGGAACCGAAATAGTACTGAGTATGGAGTGTAGATGGAACTACGGCCAAAACCGATAAATTTAATACTTTTTTCAACTCGTTTTTCTTCTTTTTGTCGGCACCGCTCTTCATGGATACGAGTTCGCTTCGAACCTGGAAAAAATCAATGTAATTTTAACAGAGTTACATAATTATCCTTTCTGAGGTTATTCACACAAAATTCTTTCATCATCATCATCAGCTTATAAGTGCCCACTGTTGAGCAAAGGTCTCTTCTCAAACCGAGAAGGCTTTAGCCTTAATCACCACGCTTGCTTAATGCGGGTTGGCGATTTCAAGCTTATAATTAGAAATTATAAGTCCAGGTTTCCTCACGATGTTTACCTTCACCGTATGTCAGTGGTGTCTTAATAAACATAGAAAGTACATATAACTTGGAAAAAGTTACATTGGTACTTGCCAGGGGCAACACATTATTTCTGTCGTCGTTCGTCGTGCGTCGTTAAGTCGCCCACTTCTCATGCATAAGGGTGCATGAGTTCGAAACCTGGCAAGTACCAATGTGACTTTTTCCGAGTAACATGTACTTTCTAAGATTATTTAGACACCACAGACATACGATGAAAGAAAACATGGTGAACAAATTGGACTTATAAATTGTAATTATAAGTCTTAAATCGCCAATTCCCCTTTAATAAGCGTGTTAATTACCTGATAGTAAGCAATCAGAGCTGCCCCTGGACATCCGCAAAAACAGGGGAGTTACAAATGCTCCGCAGACCTTTTGGGGATTAATGATTAGGGGAGGGGAAGGATTGAATTGTGGTTGTTTCACGTCGGTTTTCTGTGTTCCTGTTTGTCCTGCAACCTGGTCTGAAGTCTACCACCTGACCCTGGCTTCAATATCTTAGAATCTAGTATACCTATTCATAATGCTGTTATCTAACTAATATATTACTTGTATTACAAAATACATAATATGTACTCGTATATCACAGTATTGAGTTACCTAATTTCCAAGTATAGTTGTCAAAATTAATAGCTATACTTAGCCGATACTTGTTCCTGGCAACCGACCTCTTTCCCCCATTGCGCAAGAGTTGGTAGCTCTGGCTAAGTATCAGGGTGTTCCGCGTTCGATGCCGGTCACGTCATATTGTGCAAGGTGGTCCTTTGTTACAATGTTGTGGATTAGTTTCTTATTCAGCTTAGTTTATATTACTATTGTTTTCAAGTTAGTTAAAGATTAGATTTTAGTTTTAATTGCTTCATGGGTCTGGTTTAATGAAAGCTCTTAAATTTGTGTAAGGCGTTTGCCTATATAAAATTTAAAATAGATTACTTTAGAGGCACTTGCGAAAGACCTAACTGATTTTGATTTTGGTAAAGAGAAAAAAAAAGTTCTTTAATAAACCCTTTGTCTTACGAAAAATTATGTGTTCTAAGAAAATTGACACCTTGCGGGTGTCCATGAGCGACGCTTACGGAGTTAGGAAAGCGTTGCCGACCTTTTGAAGATTAGGGATTTGGAGATTTTAGAAAAAGGAACGGATTGGGGTAGGGGTAGGATTGGGCCTCCGTTAACCTCAATTACACTACGAAACACAACTCTTTGGTTATTTCACGCCGGTATTCTTTGAGGCTGTGGTATCACTCCGGTCGAGTCAACCCATTAAGGTAATCCTTTATTTGTTTTAATAAATTGAAAGATTATATTATAGAAAGGCCATAATAGATATAATAATCTCAAGTATCAAGATACAGCACGGTAATAAAGGTCACTACAATGAACTCTTGCGCATCGTTTAATCAAAGACGCCACGCAGTCTGTTACACCAAGTCGTAAATCATGAATACCATAAAGTCGAGAACACAGAAGGTCTATTGAATAAAAAGTGGGCGATACAACCTAGTCTTATAAACTAGACTACTGGCAGTTGTTTTGTCAAATAAACGTATCTTTATCATTGGAAGTATGGATGGATGTTTTTTGGTCTTTAACGAAAAAACTTTTTACAAGGATCGCAATGTAATTTGGTATAGATATACATAGATTTATAGTCTTAAATAACATATGGGGAACTATTGAATGGATTTTGTGAAAAATATGTAGGGTATATAGCATTATACAAGTAGGTATATCAAATTCTTCTACAGTTAAACTCCATCCAAAGGTTGTCTGGAAGAAATTGGTTTTAAGCGATAAGACCGCCAATTGTACTATATTTTGTGTTTTTGTTTCCTATGTTTTTTATTATTATGGTGTACAATAAAGTATATTCATTCATTCATTCATTATGTATATGGCAATACACACATGCTTAGCAGGACGAAGCCGAAGGCAGTAGGTACTATTATTTTTAGATAATATGAGTGGTATACTTAAGCGTATTGAACAAAACAGTGAAGGCCTGTAGTTCGAGGCTAGCTGCGTCAGTGACGGATGCCGTCCAGCACCGGGCGTTGATGTACTGGCATACAACTGGCAATTCTGGTACTTATACATGTTGTGGTACATAATTTACTACACCTGTTATGAATTTTATTATACCTTAATGTGAATGAGAATATGGATGCATGTTTGTTATTCTTTTTACGCAAAAACAGCTGGACCGATTTGGTTGGAATTCGGTATGTAGATACCTTGGATATTATTTTGTTTTAAACACAGAAGTTGTGTGCAGAAGCTAGTAATACATAAGAAACAGATATATGGAATCATAAAAATAATACTTATTTACGAACCTATGGGTTCTAACAACCGTATAACCTTCAAGGTACAAGCGTAGTTTATAAAACTGAATTCAAGTTGCATTTGCGTTATAGGTCCACTTCTATTTGAAGCCAGTACTGGCTGCTGCGTGGAGCATATTAAGATCAATTTCGTAAATCACAAACATTTTGACTGGCTACGACTAAAATATTTTAGAGATTCCAAAATTATAACAAATATTAAAAATTGTGTAATTATTTTCAACTAGCTTTTAACTAACTTTGCGTTGAATAAAACTATCCAATGTCCTTTCTCGAGTTCCGAACTATGTCTGTACCAAACACAGAAATTGGTTCAGAAGTTTAGACGTGAAGAAAAGACAGACAGACAGACAGAGTTACTTTCGCATTTATAAATTCGTTTAGATTACTTTACGGACATAATATTGTTAACAAAGATCGAATTTAAAACCTTAACTTACCTATGACAACCAATAGCTAAATCCATTTGAATTTGCTAAGTATTAAAAGAAACATTAGACAACTATTCCATCAAAAAAACCACTAAGGTCCACCATAACACTATGCAATCAAACCTTCTTTGTCTACCTCTATTATAAACACTACCATGCTTTCGCTAGTCTATGGTTTATTACATAAGACCGCCATAGTCCGGTCTAATTCCATCGGTGACGTCACGTCCTAGTATCCAAGTAGCCGTAGTTCAAGTATCCGAGCCACGTCCTGAGAAAGTGGTCACTCTACTCTTCTTACAGAACGTTATCTAACATATAAGAACATGTGTAATTTTGTTTTTTTTTTTTGAAACGAGTCTTTTTAGATTTTTTCCTCGTTAAAATGTTCTAGGACTTAATTGTAGTAGAAAATTTAATGTTTTAACTTGGGCATTAAAATAGTTTTAAATGATTTGAGTGTACGGTTGGTCTTGGGCTGGCCAACCGTTCAACGAGACGCGGGTTCGCTCCCCGCGTGGAAAAATGTTATAATTGCAAATGCACCAACGACACAGAAAAGGCGAGTTTTTTTTAAAGGATAAAAGAATCTTAATCTTCTTGAAATAATGTTTGTGGCTCATGGGGACAGACTTTGATTCATGATGGATCGTGTCATGATCATAAAACTTTTTTTATTTAATTTTTAAAATAAATGGTGCCTATAATTGTATTCTTATTTAGTATTATGGTCTAAAAGTATATTATCTATATTATCAACTTTTTTCAATACAATCGCTGTGATTGAGTTTTTATTTAATTCTTAATTAAACATCACACTTTATTGTGTAGCCATTTGAAGTTTGCTATTTGCTTGTGCCGGTTAAGCATATTCGTTTATTGAAGATCAAACTTTATTACATAGCCCTTAAGTTAACTTTTTTGTTTACACACAGGTGACTTTATAAACAAAAAATATAGACCGTATCTATAACTGTGAGAATAGACCATAAAATAAAAAAAAAACAAAAATCGATGTTCCAAGGTTTAAAAAAAGAACAAAAATATTTGATACACATTTTATTACAAAAAAGTCGTACATTAAATAGTTTTTAGTCGACTGCGGTCGAAATAAACTTTTGTTCTTCATCATTAAAGCTAGAAAATAGAAAAAATAGAATTCTATATACAATAGTGCTTTACCAGGTACTTACGAAGCCTTAACCAATCAAGGGCTAGAGATCATGTGGAAACATGAACCTGTATACTACATACATAAAACATTACATACAAACTTACATACATATATCATCTAAAATTCATATTTACATACATACATATTCATGGCGTCTCTTTAATAAAATATACATAATGTTATGGCAATTAAGTACATAATTATTTTGAAATTTTATATAAATAGTATAACCTACTTTGAGCACACTTAGGTATTACCTAAGTGTGCTCAAAGTAGGTTATACTATTTTAGTTTGGCGCCAAAAAGTTGTCAAAAAAAACAAACTAAAGAGGTTTTCGTTTTTCAATATGGCGGTATCACGGATAACCTACTGTGAATACATTTTAAAATGGCGACAGGCTTCGTTGTGATTGCACTTTATCCCTAACTTCTTACAAAACCTGAACTTACATCCTTGTGTGTATTATGACCCCACATTAAGATCTGAATTTTCAAAGGTTCCACACAATAGATATAAGCTCTTTGCATCATACACTCACACATAAAACTACACTTATCTACATCACAAAATAACGTTCTGACTACGCACAATAATCCCATATGAAAATGCCTTAACAAAAACATATTAAAACCTCTCGTTTGATGACAAATTAAATACTATACCCCTTACTACTTAATAAAGCACCTTATCTTAGGGCTATACGACTCACAATCATTTGAGAATATGGCGTAAACTCCCTTCATATTTTTACAAAAAGTTTTCTACATACTCCAAAAAGTTGGTATGAACTTTAATTTGTCAATAAGCAAGTGGTCTCATTGTACACTTTACCATCCGAGTTTTGAGTGGAATGCGTGGCCGTGGCCGTATCCGTGGCCGTGGAAATCGTGAATGATGGGGGCGCTAGCGTAGGACTTGACTACTGGGACGGCGACCGGGGCTGGTACTGGAACGGCTACTGGCTTTGGTACGGCCACTGGGTAGGGCTGGGGAACAGGAACTCCGACCTGGAATTGGAAGAATGTGTTATTCATCTACCACTTAAATTGGAACTATTATTGGTATACTACTAGATTATTGGTAGATAATGCCTTTTGGCATTAAGTCCGCCTTAGTAAGTAAGACATTTACGACCTCATTACTAAAAAAAATATTATTTTTTTAGTCTTGATCTAAACCGTTTAGCCATTTTTTGCATTTCAAATTGAAGGTAGGTGAGAATAAGATTCAAAATACAAAACGTTAAGTCCACCAAGGTATTTAAATAATTATTTATCACGTTAATACCCGCATAAATGTATGTTGTCGATGGTTTAAACCAAGACTATAAGATTTGTAATGAGGGGGATAGTGTTAACAGATTTCGGACTCCCACACTCATGCATGCGAAGCGGGAGGGAGGCTTCCAAGTCACCGCAACGTTAAAATTTTTAATAATGTTAAAGTTTCAAAAGGATTTTTCAACATATTCTTCAAATCTTCAATCCACACAGTGCAATCTACCAGTTTATAACAAGTTACAATAAATAAATGAAGTACTTTAGTAGTTAACTAGCTTGTGTCTAGAATCTAGACCGGTATGGCATTAGGTTCAATTGAGCGACGCGGGCGACTGAGCGACGCGACGTTGCCATGACGGAAGCTCAGCTAATGTGCATCATTACCTGTTTTACGGTCCAACAATCCTTTATTGATTTCTTGTAGATGGACAGTATTTGTTTTCGGAAAATAGACCTTATGTATCAATCATGTGTGTGTTTTATTATCTTGCGCAAGCGCATGCATAAATACTTTTTTCTTTTTATCTTTCTTGATTTTGTAATCATCTTTGAGGCTGTTCTTAGGTAGTGATTGAAACTAGTGTTATATTTAAGCACTTTTACTCCTGATTAATAGTTGTTCTTGAATTCGTCGGCTGTACATGTTCAAATTATTTCTACGAAAACTAATTCTTTTTCTTTTAGGAGGTAATGAGTATTCAGCGTGGTCCCGAAATATAACGAGATCGAATTATGACACCTCTCTTGCTATCTCCTATAGGTACCTATACCAGTTATAAGCGAGTGTAAACTCTTAGAATTTCGTCCGAACTCTGGAGACCAATTTAAAATAAGGTAGAATACCGTCTGCGGCCGATTAGGATAAAAAAGTAATAGATTAACGATGACGTCTTAAAGCATATTCTTGGACCGGACAGTGAATGGTGAAGCTCTAAACTTCAAAGTATTTAGGTGTCCTCCAGACTTTCACTCCTGGAGCTACTACTGAGATTTTGTATAGAGATTCCAGATAAGTACAGATGATCGCATGTACATGAAATTTGATATCCTTATAAGATTTTTCTAAGACGATTTTTCAACTAATTACATCATCCTATTGACACTAAAACCATGTTATAAGGTAAGGCAATGTTATACAATCTGCGGTAATGCTGTACAGCGCACGGTAATCGGAATCGCTTCATTAACCTACTAGCACATAGCACGTAGACTCTTCTCCATAGAAATTACTTCAATAGTCGACGGTAACAGAATATTAAACAGCCTCCATCTTTCATTTGACATGAAAATTGTCTGATTTAGGCTTAGAGATTACATCATGCGTTTTCTTGAATTGTCTCCAGGTTGTTGTGTGTGTGTATTGTAGAATTATTCCAGGTATAACGATGAACGAACTTATGATAATTCTAAGCTTCTTAATATTGCGTTTTAGGTTTCTTCATAAAGACGTATCTTTTCTTTCTCTGTCTTTCTGGTCGTTGGTTTCGTTCACTGCTGATGACTGTGACTTTTTGTTGGCCTGGGATTCATAGGCGTATATTTGTGTTTTTTATTGGAGATTGTTATGACTGCTATTTATATTGGAAATGGATTGGGTTTAAATAATTGCCTTGCTCCTGTCGTAAGCGAAAATGTAGCCTACTATGGAGAATAATCTACTCAAAAGCATATTTGGAGCTTGAAGAAAATACCCAGGTCAGAATAACCTCTGAAGAAATTCTAATGAATCTCCTCCTCATTCTTTTATACTTACTTGCTTAATGACGGGGTAAGGCACAGCATGGGGCACGGGAACGGGTACGGGACGGTCGACAGGGACAGCGACGTGCTTCTCAACGGTGACTGGGTAGGGTTTGGGGACAGGCACGGCGTAGGGACGGTCTACGGGCACGGGAACTGCCACCTGAAATAGAAAAGTGTTGAGATGTCTTTAGTTCTATTGTATTTTTGTGATTGGTTGGCTACTTAGTATTGAATAGTCGTTATGCCAAGAGTTCATTGAAGTGATGTTGTGTACAATTATGTACCTTAACGGCAACAGGGTAAGGTCTATCCACAGGAACAGGGTAAGGTGCTGGCACAGGTACACCGACATGCTTGGTGACAGTCGTGTGAACATCAGCCCCAACTATGGCTGCTCCAACCGGTCCTCCCACAAATGGCCCTGCGGCATAGCCAGCGGCGATCGGGCCTCCAAAATGTCCCGCGTATCCATGGCCTAAAGCCACTCCATGACCAATTAGGGGAGCTCCAAAATGACCGACCAGGCCACTTCGCTTCTGGACAACTTTGCTCGGTTCAGGATCCGCCAGAACTGAGGCTGCCAGGAAGAAAACTGCGATCTGGAAGTAGGAAAAGGTTTGTTAAAGGAACTGATTTTACTTCAAGATTTGAGAGTTTGTGAAGGATACAATCATTATAGGAGACTTATTTTTTTTTCAATAAGATGGGGATAGTAACTGCATCAAGAGCCGCGTTCAGTTTCCAACGCTATGTTGAATAGAATACTGCAGAATATAAGATAAAATATTGATGATGTGTTGAAACAGGACCAACTATTACGAAATACTATCCTTAAACTAAAACACTTCCTTCCCTACAGATCACGAACCAAAACAACAATGCAAATCAAGAAGAAAGTGTCGCGTAACATCCATATCCAAAAATCGAAGGCTGAACTGCATTTTCGCATACATTGAACTGAACAATGCATCCAGTATTACTTTTACTTATTGCGTGATATGACTTCATCAGGTACATTAATATGCGCAGGAGCATGTACAGAAACGAAATTCGAACGACGATTTGAATTTAAATTAAAGGATTCCATGATATGGATAATAGGACACGATTTACGCGTGTTTGCGTTACGTATTAATGGTCGGTGACGAAACCGTTTGGTTCATTATTATGTAGTGTGACAATGTAAACAAAATAGAGAAATAGATATATTGTATGTATTGGATGCCAATGGGCTTATTGGGTCACTCAGCCAACGGTGTAAGTAAAATATATTATTATGGTTTTGCGTATTATTTTAGCAGAAATTGTTAAGTGTGAGGGTATCCAAAGAAAAAGGAGGTTTTAATAAAATACTCGAGAGTGTGGTTAACAACGTAAGATGTATTTACGTATTTGTAGGCTTACGAAAACCGCTAACGCTTTATTTAAATAAAAAAAAGAAATAATACAGTTAAAATAGTGGATTAATTAACTAGGTTCTTATTACTTTTTTATTTGCAATGCTGGCCACTATAAGCCACTCGCCTAAATTTTAGTATGTTTGTATTTAGTAAAAAAAAAACTTTGCATGCCGGAAGGTAGAATGTGTTGTAGCTCCTATGTATAATTCTAACATCTTATTTTATACCCATATTATTTGCAAAATAAACGAATTGATTGGAGCGCGCCTACCCAAAAGCAACCTAGTCACTGATATAGGTACTACCTACTTAAGTTTCAGTGGAATATGTTAGGGAAAGTGATAAACAGGGAAAAACTGCCGTATGTTATCTAACGGTTGGTTATACTTGTATCAACTTTTTAATGACGCCTGATGTTTTTATGCGACCCTATACGTAGTGTGTCGTAAGTTTAATTTAAGGAGGTTTTACAAAGATTGGCTGAATAAAGAGATTCAATTAGCCCGAGAAGCTTTTTTACAATTAATAAATTATGATTACAACCAGATTATGTTTCTCATTTTTGTTTCAATGTTAGCAATTCATATATTTTTTTTTGATAGCGATATTATTAATTATCTTTTTAAAATATTGTAAGGATATTTGTTATGATTTGTGCGAAACTAGATTTTAAATACGTTTCGTTGATAACGTTGGTGTGTTTGAGTTGTCATTTCCGAAAAGAAAATTTAATGAAAATATTATTGGTTTTCGCGAATACTCCATTATAATGGTAGATGAAAAAATCTGTCTGTAACCATATAACCATTGTTATCCTTTAGAGAGTAATTAAATAAAATGTTTGAGTATGAAAGACGTTTTAATTACTAATAAAATTGATTGCTGGTGGAATAAAGACCAAACAATTCGGTTGCGACAGTAAAGAATGGGCATTGTATTTAATCAGTGGGAAAAGCGCGCGAAACGGTTGAATATTATTTAAAACTGTGAAGATTTTTTCGTTTATAGGTACGTCATAGAGTTTTTATGTAATTTTAAGTGTGTGAAGTTCTTCTTGTAACTAGATTGTTTTAGAAATATTAAAACCGTAACTTTATTTTTAAGGGCAGTTTGATCACTTAAATATTTTTTGTTATTTTTCATAAACATTTTTTTTATCGGATTGTATTTTTTTACGTTGTTATTTAAACCTTTTTATTGAATATTGGCTTCAATTGAGAACAAAATATTTTTATATTATCAAAATATTACAAAAAATCTACGCTTAAACACCATGAAGCAAAATCAATTGTAAATATTATTATTAAAAATTTAATTGTATGAATTCCATTTATAATCACTTACGTAGGCCTTCATTTTGAATAGGATCACTGCACTTAAACAGAGCACTGTAAGGATCAGACTACACTGCGCATATGTGCTCTGAGTCGTAGGAACCTTTTATATAAGGCTACTAGCACACTACCCCACTATCAGAACCCATTGGTCTTAACTTCAAACTCGGATTTGCGACACTTAGCAGAGTTACTGGAATGCCAACAATTTGGACATTATTCAAATGGACTGATATTTGGAATGAGAATTCTGATTGTATTCTGAATTTGCTAATGGTGTGAAACAATGGGCTAGTGTTGACGTTTTTTGGATCTAGTATTTATTTAATTCCATATTTTTATACTTTGGCATTTTTTTTAATGTTCGTCGAACATATGTGACGTTTGAAGAATGTAATCGGCTTAAAGTATTTTTTTAAATACGTGGTCCACACTAGGACTTTGTCCTGAGTCATGGGTGCATTTACAACAATTTTACTTACACATCACACCCAGACCTGGAACAAAAATGTGATGACGAATGGATCACACAAAAAGATGTTCCGTGCCGAAATCAAACTCACGACACGTTGCATAGCAGCCAGTTGCCCAGCCACCGCGCCAACCGTGCAGTCAAATGTCCCTTTTATTATATGTTGCTGTGACTGAATATTTTAATAGGCCTATAAGGACTATAGGCCAATTAAAATATTATTCTTCTTCTTTAATTACACTGAATACTTTAAAGATTTGTTAAAAAAAATACAACTTTGTTTATGAAGTTAAGTGCAACTGTCTTAATAGTAAACGATATTTTGTTATAAAATATAGTCGATTTTTTTAGTGTTACTCTACACTGCGACTTTCTTCTGTGTCGTGGGTACATGTCAAAATATATGATTTCAAAAACACATCCGGACCCGGTACAACAATCTGTAGAACCCACGACACCTTGGACAGGAGCTGGTTGACCAATCACTGCGCCAACCATGCAGTCAGATATCAATCCCAAGCACAATAGGCAATTAGTAAATTTCCTTATTTACCAAAATATTCAAATTTGAACTAATACCGCGACACATTTTAACAGCTTCCCTGTCCAATTTAGTTAGACCTTTGTCCGTAGCTCGTCCACACAATCTATATCTTCGATCTAGTCCTTTTTCTTATACCCTATATACAGTCAGGGGTCATCGTAACTGGTCGTTGGCATGTACTAGCCAGAAAATGTCCATTACGCTATAATAAAGTAGATCATGACAAAAGCAATTTAAGGTGAGGAGAGCAAGCACTTTCTTCATTGACATCGATCTGATGAATTTTGTATGCAGAATAGTTATGTTTTTTTTTTAAATCACATCACTATATCAGAATTTATTATCCACTACTGAGCCTCTTCTCACACCGAGAAGATTTGAGTATTTAACAACTTCTATTTCAGGCTCGGCTCGGCAAACGAGTATACTGTTCACCTGATGGTAAGCAATCAGCGCAGCCCATGGACACCCGCAACAACAGAGGAGTTACAAGTGCGTTGCCGACCTTTGTATCCTTCACAGTATGTCTGCGATGTGTAAACGAATCAATCAATACTTTATTTTAATTGATTGCTTTAATTATTATCTTAATGACTTCATGTTATATTTACTTTTAAAGGGCAAACATTGAAAAAAATGTTTGTTACTTCTACGCCTTAAAAAATTAAGGGAAAATATCGTTTTAAATATTGTTATTTCTAAACAAACGTTTTAACGAGGTTTCGTTCGTATAGTTATCTAATTTTCAACACAGGTTAAGCCGATAACGTTTTGAAAAACATTTCCTCTTTTTTACGCTTCCTTTCTTCTGTTGTTAAAGAAATATTTGTCAATTTTAAGCTTGCTTTTTAACCGACTTCAAAAAAGGAGGAGGTTCTCAATTCGACGAGTATTTTTTTTTTAGTAAATTTATTTCGCCCCGTTTGGAGTGAGAGTGTCAGATTCTGACCGATTAAAAACTACGACGTTTCTTTTGCTCTAGGCCCAGGTGTAATATTGCATTTGATCTGCAACCCCGGCTGAACATTAGCCCTATTGGGCTCTATTTATCTTCAACTCTTTTTATTATTATCTGTCACTTTCTCGAAGAATCTAATCTTTTGACAGAAACAACGTAACATCAAAAATTAATCCAAAGCCTGAGGTAAGTTATTTATTTCGGTCAATAATGATACGGTAGTTTCCAACTAGTCAAATGCCATGCTTTTATACAATTATATTTAATATAAATAATAATAATTATTATTGACATCATAGTATTTTTGCGTCAAATATCTTACTTATTTCTTAAAAATTAGACAATAAATATCGAAAATGGTGTGTGTCGACAGATTGATGAATAAAAGTTTAGTAGTAATTTTTCAATGATTTATTGTGTTGAAACGTCAAAATAATATTTTTTTTCGGGTATTTTGGAATCGGAAGAGTTGTAGATTGATATGGTTGTTTATAAGATCGATTTGAGATGAATCATCTTTTATTGGTGCATAACTTAAATCCAGGGTAGTTATTGTTAATTAAGATGAAAGAAGTACCTAATTATGAGATGTTGACAGTAATGAACAAAACATAAAAATTGTGGCGTCTGTTCACGGCGACGATTAGAATTTTGATAATGGGTTAAGAAAAAAACTTAAGTAAAAATAATTCGATAAATACATTAAAAAAAACCTTTATTGAATTCACGATAACCATACTTTAAGTAGATTTTTTTAAAATCCAAACATTACAATCCAGAAGACCATTTACTTTTATTTCATAGGGAAACTGTTAGTATAGTCGATTCGAAAGATACCTACCATATACGTCACATTAGCTATCTAAGGTCTAAAAAACAAACTTAGTTTTCATAAAAAAATGTATAGGAAATAGCTAATGTTGATATTTCAAATGTGACAGTTTAAATTGAGACATTTTGCCATATCCTGTATCTTAACCATTTGATACCAACTGCTACAAGTATCAACATTGTATGTAAGTTATCGCTTAATTATGGCAAATTACGTTCAGAAACGATATTGCATGCTAATTTAGATGCACTAAAACTAAAGCAACGTTGCCTTAACTGGGTTCAAAACCTGCTAAGTACTAATGTGATTTTTTCCGAGTTATATAGGTATATGTATAATTTCTATATATTTTACTTTATTTAGACACCACTGATAAACGGTGAATGAAAATATCATGAGTAAATATTGAGTTATTATGTTTGAGCCCATCTGCTCCAATATAGTATGGTGATTAATGATCTCCATGTGAGAAAAGGCGTTTACTGGTGATAATAATGATGGTGATTTACTTCTTTTCGTACCCCAACTCGGTTCTAATCTTTTGTTCTGCGACCTGATTGTGAACTCTCAGACATTTACCAAAAATGGGGAAGGTGTAGACTCCCCTTCTTTTAAGAGCGGGGTTCTTGATAAGCATGTTGATGTACTGCCACCCGGTTCAGAGCATGAGAAGGAACGGGATGGTTTTTAGTCAGTAGGAGTCTGTCACTCCCTCTTGCACCGCCAAGGGTGGGAAAAGTCGTTGGATGACTTTCACCCCTAAAAACGACTTGGACAAGCAGTGCACTTATTGTAGCTGATGATTGTTAAGCCTTTGACTGCCGACCGAAGATTATTGAAGGCAAATACTCCGCTACCATAGGTCGCCGGCGACCTACGCGGCGGTTAACGTGTTAAGTACTAAATAGGTAGCATCTGAATTTCGATATCTATATCCTAATAAAATTTATTTGATCCTAAGATCGAACCCTACCAGCAAACATGAGGTCCAACAGGGCTGATGTTTAGCCAGGGTCATGGGTCAAGCGCAATAAGGTACGGCAAGCAACCTTGATTTGCGCAACAGGAGAAGGAACGGGGGTGTTTTTAGTCAGTAAGAGTCTGACACTCCCTCTCACCATACCCTGGGTGGGAGAAGTCATTTGATGATTTTCCTCCTAAAAAAACAAAAGCCCTTCATTTAACGTTATAGTCAGTCAAAGGTAGGTAAAGTGAACAGTAAAAATCAATCAATTTGCTGTATTGCAGTCGTTCACACGCTATTTCTATTAAAAGGGCAAATTACTCATAACTGTTTGACTGGGCAGAAAGTTATTGTTGCCCGAATATGTACGTAGGTGGCGACATCTAGTGGGATCTAATAAGTCGCCTTCAAAATGACCTTTGATTATTTTAATGTCTTTATCCATTCCATTCTACTTCTGGAAGACGTCTCTGTATTGCCTTGGAGACATTATAGGATTGATGGGTTGTTTGAGACAACATAACTAGACACATTATTTCATAGAAAATATCTAAGAATACAAGAAAATTAAGTACCTAAGTATTTCTTGAAATTAATTATTAAGTACCTATTAGAATTTAAGTTTTTTTATATCGTGAAATTTACAAAATTTATTAAAAATAACGTTTTATGTATGTATTCACGTTAATTATAAGCTTTTCTTTAGATTTTTTAAATTTAGAATAGTTTCTTGGTTTAAATTGATCCCATAGAGCCATGTAATGATCGATTTAATCTTCAAAAATTTAATATTTACCGGTATTTTCTCTTTTTCGCATGTGTCGAAAATCGGTTACAACTGCCGAATTGAATTTTTTATAGGATGGTCGGCAAACAAGCATACTCCTTACCAGGTGGTAAATAGTCGTCGCCATTCGCTTCCAAACCAAAGGACCTACAAAGGCGCTGCCGGGCTTTTGTGAGTTTAGTAGGGATTTGAGGATTGCGAATTTAGAGATGAGGGGAGATAGGGTCTCCGATAAACACAATCATACGACGAAGAACAACGCAAGCTTTGTTTCACGCCGTAATTTTTCGGGGCCGCGGTATAACTCCGGTCAAGCCAAAGTCCTTTGTGGATTCATTTATCATTATTTGTTGCTTATTAAATTAAATCGCGGGAGAAGACGTGGGCTCAACACTAAGTTCTATAAAGGGCCAACAAAGTTAAGTATTACACTTACAAGTCTCAATATGAGTCACCCACTGTCGCTGATTGAGTAGGTACCTCGCTCCGGTTGCACGGTCAACTTGCTTTGTTTT